CAATGCTAAAAAGAGCAAATTAAATTTCTTTTATTCCATTAAGAATGCTTTCTTTTAAAGTGTTTCCAGTTATAAAAACCAGGTGACTTTACGTTACATTCAACCAAAAAAAAACTGTTTTATACTTCTCTTCAAACAAAATACAATCGAGGGAGGCTTGGCTGAAACCTATTACTGCAGGCGGGGCAGACCGCTGGAGCCAAGGCTGCCACTGATTCTGTCCTACAACAAGCAGCAAAGTGAAAGAGATACACAGCATTTCAAATAAATCAATCCCCTTTATTAGCTTCCTCTCTTTAGTGGTTGCTTTTACTGTATGTTTTGTGGACCAAGTTAATCATTTTCATGTAAAGATCAATTTCAATATGCACTTTTATTTGAAAGTGGTCAGATTTTGTAGAGAAGGCAATTGGGAGGAGAAGTGGGAAGGTATACGCTAGACTTTGTTGTTTCCAGGGATCCAACCACTCTGTGAATTTCTGATAACAGAATACAAAAATGTTCTGATATTATTTCCAACTGTTGTTTAGTTAAAGCTGTGTCCTGGCCAAGATCAGGCATGTTTTCTAATGTAGGCCAATTATATAGTCTCAGTGTATAATCTGCATCCTGAGTAGAGTAACCAAAGTCTGAAAAGGATTAAGAATTGTTTGAATGGAGGTGCCTCTGTAAGACTACTGAGTAGAATTTATTATCTTCTATAAGCCCTAATCTGTCCTGTTTCCTGTCCATTCTCATGTACCACTCTCCTATCTCCTTCAGTGTACACAGGGAATTTCCAAAGCAAATGCCAACAAATCCCTTATATTGCTTAAACTAACTAAAATATATTTTTGCTTGCTTAAACCAAGGCCAGGCTAACTGTTTTGGGTAAAAACACTGGATTAGTTAAGGTATTAAAACACTCTACTCACATTTATGAATATAGGACTCAGATACCATCTTTCTGTTTCTCCTTTATTTAACCATTTACCCAATTTATGCCTCAGTTATTACATATGAAGGAAAAATGTTGACAAATATCTTACCAATTAAATGAATCAACAAGACTACTACTCTAGTTTCCTGTATGTAAGTTTACCTGAAAATATCAGTACATAATTATATCTTTAATCCTCTGAAATTTGTATATGCACACTTACTAAAGGACTCATGTAACTTCTCAGTTAAGGAACACAGTCAAATTTAGATAATATTAAAGGCAATATACAGAATATGTACATCCACAGTACATGGTTATGTAAGCATACATAATTATACCTGATAACACTCTACATTCCCTTTTGGGAATTCTATGAAATGAACTTTCATAAAATTAGTATTAAACAAACAGTTTTATAAAACCTGCAAATATTATTAACAGTGAAACTTATGTTTTGGTTTTTATCTACTTGTTACGCACTAAACAAAGGCTTTCAGTGAGAGTACATGCCTTATATTAAAGGTATTTGACAGCGCTTTCTTCAAGTCCCTTCAACTAGCACTGACCAAGTAACTTTGTAAAAAGACAGTCAAATAATATGTGTGGAAATATACACACATAGCACATTTATTCTGTAAATACTTCAAGTAAGCTGCCTTGGGAACATTCTAGGCTATCATGTTAGCTGACTAAATATCTTGGACATGCTGTCAGGTCTCCACACACTTTCTCAATTGAGAATTGAGCTGAAAATTGAGGGTAAACTCAGCTTGCAGGCATAGTTCCAAGTGAGTCCCATTCTCAGGCGTCTCCCACAATTCTTAGTCCATGTCTGCTTTCAGAGTATCCAGTAATACAATTAGCTGTGTCCATACTGCTAAAAGAACGTGGCCTTCCCAGAAGTCTACTAGGTATAAAATCCTTTGAGACACAGAACAGCAACAAAAGAAATGCATAAAAAGATTGAAGAATGTATATACTTAATAGATGAAAAGAATCAGTTACATGGCAAAAAGTTAAGGATGAGGTTCACCAGACTGATGCTGGCATCAGACTTCCTGACATTCAAATCCCTGCTTAGCAGTTTAAGAGCTGAGTGACCTCTGCAAGACCCTTGGTATAAACCTAAGCAGCCTTGGTTTCCTTCTCTGCAAAATAGGCAATGCATATTTTATTAAAAAATTCAATATTGTAGTGTGCAAAATAAAAATATATAAGCCCAAGGTTCCTTTGGCCTTCCCTGATTTAAACTGTGATTTAAAAAATCACTGGTCATTAAATAAAAAGCGCTAAATAAAAATCTTCAAAGTAAAGATGTCATTGACCCACAAGCTATTGAAAATATATGACTGAGTTTAATCAAAACTCTTTACTAAGAGAGAAAATTGAGGCCTAATGACTATTAAACATAAGTTAATTTTAAGACCAATTTATATTGCTTGTGTTCCTATAAAGTTACCTAATTGCAGCATTCAGTTTACCAAATTATCTACCATACACATTGAAAGAATTGTTTGTACCAGTGCAAAAATGGTGGATCTGTAACTTCAGATTCTGGATAAAAAACATACATAAAAACATATATATAAACATATATATAAAACATATATTTGAATGTTTATATATTTTTTCCTGTAGAAGTTGAGTTTGTTAGCTAATCTACTTATTGCTAAGGCCTTAATGATCCAGTTATAATTTATTCAAGTCACATGAAAAGTTGGACATTTTCTTGCTGTCATATCTGAAGTCACCCTTACTTGAGAAAACAAATTATTTTCAAGTTAAATACAGTGAAAGAAATAATTATCAAAATACAATGCAAAAATCTTCATTTTTCATGGGATCCCCACTGGGCTACACAGTAAATGCCAGGCTGACCTGGGCTATTTAGTGAGACCCTCTTTTTAAATGAACAAACAATAACTCACAGACCGTTATAGATAGTTGAAGCAAGCTTTTAAATTCAGCTTAACAGGTCAGTTAAATAATAGAAAATTTGAACAAAAACAGCACCCCCAAAAGATATTTTTATGCTTATTACCGCTGACAAGTACTGTGAACTTAAGAATAAAGCGACGAAATACAGCAGAGTCTTCACACCATAAGAAGCCCAGTCAGCAAAGTCAGTGAGACCGCTCTTACATCTCTAATTAACCAGCAAAACGGGAGACCGAAGGCATGGCTAAATTGTTATAGTGCCAGCCATGAATAAGCAAGCTGAGGTTGATGGAGGCCTTAAGTCCAAGAATCTGCAGTGGTGCACAGAAGCGATTATACACAGAAAGAAAAGGTGACGAGGGAAGGAATGGTAGGGGAAAAACAGAGGAGGAGGTAACAATGCTCAACAGGAAATGTACTCATTACCTTACTCATGTAACTGTAACCCCTCTGTACAGTATCTTTACAATAAAATATATATATAAAGAAAGAAAAGGTGAAGAAAGCTTAAGTGATAAGTAGCACACCATTTAACATACAAATAGAGACCTTAATAAGGAAAACAGAAAGACTAAGGGCCAAAAACCTACTTAAAGAAAGTTCCTCAAATATTTAGATATATGGATATTAAGATTCGGGAAGCTGGTTCTTCAAAAAGAAAAACAAAAGCAACAAATTTTAGCTAGATTAAGAAAAAAGAAGAAAAAACTCATACCTGAAACTGTAGAACTACTACTGTTGGTTGGATAGAAAAAAAAAGAGAGGTCACCTTTTGAGAGGTCAAATTGGGAGTCTTTATTAGAAGGCTAGGGAATGCAGGCAGACATGTTGCAAACACCTACAGCCCTGCAAATACACTTAACACTGTCATAAAACTAAGCCATGAGAGCCAGAGAGGAAAGAAAACACAGAAAAGCAATACCACAAACCAGATCAGCTCCCATGCCGAGCTGAAATGGGACACCATGGTGACTGAGAAAAGACAGGAGACAGGACATGAATACAGACATGTGGCATGGTATAATGGTGCCTGAGTGGGTCCAGGCCTAAATAGGGTCAGATCATTGAGCAGCCATGGGAAGCTTGAGAGTTCACAATCTAAAGGACTGGCAGGACCAGTAACCTATTGTCCAAGTCTCTGCCCCTGCCTGTAGGAATTCAGGCATGCACATCACCTGGAAGGTGCCTCTTCTCTGCCTCCACCATGAAGACAAGCTGGCACCAATTAAACCCAATACCCTATCATCCACCCTGTGGCCAAGATGGTACCAGTTAGATTCAACAACCCTCCTTTACAACAAGGGAACAGAGAATGTTGTTTCATCACATTGATCTGGGCAAAATTGTCTGACTTAATTTGTTGCTTATCCAACAACTTACAAACTGAAAAAAAAAATTGCAAACTATGCATCTGATAAGGAAATGAATACCAACTTATTCAATCCTCCTCACCACTGTTCATCAAGATAATGCAAATAAAACCACAATAAACAGTCTGAGAAGGTGGCTCAGTGGCAGAGTGCTTGCCTTGAATGCATGAGGCCCTGGATTCTATTCCCCAGCACAACATAAGCAGAAAAAAAGCAGGAAGTGGCACTGTGGCTCATGTGGTGCAGTGCTAGCCTCGAGCTGAAGAGCTGAGGGACAGCACCCAGGACCAGAGTTCAGGCCCCACGACCAACCAAAAACAAAACAAAACAAAACCACAATAATCCTGTTAGGATGATTATTATCAAAACAATGCGAGGTAGATGTTGACAAGGAAGTAGGAAATAGGCAATGACAGATTCTGAGAATATAAGTGAATATGGGCATTTTGAAAATCAGTTCGGGGATGTGTCAGAAAACTTAAAGCAGAATTACTATATGATTCAGTGATTTACTTTTGTGTATAAATATTTCATAATTCCATTTACATGTGGAAAGTAAAAAGATAAAATTCATAGATGTATAGAGGAGAATAGTGATTACCAGGGTTTATGGAAGAGGTTAATGAGGAAAGAGTTTCAAAGTGTACAAAGTTGCAATTCGACAGGAATAAGCTTTAGTGATCTACTGCCCAGAATGGTCACTGTAATAAGAATGAACAGCTGGGCACCAGTGGCTCATGCCTATAATCCTAGCTATTCATAAGACTGAGATCTAAGGATTGTAGATCAAAACCATCCAGGGCAAGAAAGACCTTAAGGCTCTTATCTGCAATAAACTACTCAAAAAAAGTGACATGTGGCACTGTGGCTCAAGAGGTAGAGTACTAGCCTTGAGCACAAAGAGGCTCAGGGACAGTGCCTAAGCCCTGAGTCCAAGCCCCAGGACCAGCTCTCCCCCTCCTCCCAAAATAAAATGAGCTGTATATTCCAAAATTATGAATGGACTAGATTTTAATTGTTTTCCTCATGACAAAGTATGTCAATCCATTTTAAGTATTCTACTTTAAAACTTAACCTTGTACCTCATATATAATTGTCATTTTAAATAAAATAAAAACAGAAAATAAAGGATAGTTCAGACATAAGAAACTGCTATGATTCAGCTGAATGCACAGGTAAGTGAATAGGATAGTAAGGATAGCTTTCCATGTTTCTGGGTACTAACTTCTTCTAGAGAGGGCCAGGTATTTCTGCCAAATCTATACGGACCTGAGAAGGTAACAGGAAGTAAATAGTTACATAATGACAAGTTACAAGACTGACATGATTTAATTTCATTCCCATCAAGCAATTATCAGTACATTCTCACATGGTCTCAGGATAAAAGAACTGCAAGAAATGGTTTTAAATGTTTTAATTGGTAGAAGACAAATTTGTAAAGGGTTCAAGTCATAGTTTTTACTTTTAAAAATAAATGACATATGCAAAAAACATTTTGTGGTGACTAAATACATAACTATCTAGGAACCACAAGGTTGTACATACTAATAAAGAGTAGAATTTTCCTCTGTAGAATAAACAGCATATCCTTCATTTTTTTTCTTTAAAAATACAAGTCAGTTAATGCGCTAAAATATTAACTGGGTAAGCAGGAAAACTATTAAATAGCTCACATGATTCAAAAGCCTAAAGTTATTTTCCTACATGGTGAAAGGATCCATCACATCCATCCCAGGGGACCACACAGAGGCAGGCAGGCACAGGAGAGCGATGATTACAAGGTTTATCAGAGGAGCCATACTTGCCCCAGAGGCTGCACATGGCAGCCTCCACTGTCTAGGTAGCAGCAGGATCGTGGGGCAGGAAGTGAGGTAGATGGGAGTTGAGGTGGATCTGGGCAGAGAGAGGGAGGGGCCAGCTGTATGGCCGGAACTCCAGGGCAGGGAGAAGCTCCAGGTTTAGGTGGAGCTGAGGACCAAAGGTGGGCATAATGCTTACACACAGTAATATGAGTTAGAAGAAAAGCAACCAGTTAAGGAATTCTGGCCTACAGAACTTGCAGAGATAGCAGGATAAGTTGATATACCAAAATCTGCCTGACAATAAAAAGTAGGGCAGGGGACTATGAAAGAATGAAGAAGAAAGAAGGACAAAAGAATGAGGAAATAAAGGACAGGACTTTCAGTCTTTGCCATCACACCCTGACTGGAAACAGAAAAGAGGCCCACCAATCACAAAGCCATCTTCAAGGATTCCAATTCTCATTATTTAACTCAAGGCTAAATTCTGTAGCAAGATGGCAGACTTGGGCTAAAAGGTTGTTTTCCCATGACTTGTCTATGTGCTTTCTTTCTCTGCCACATTTCTTTTCTAATAAACTATGCTGTCACCTTACTTATGTTTGCACCTTGCTTGATTTCTCTGGTCAATGTAAGAACTGAGGTTGTTTAGCTACCTTAAATTTCCTCTTTGTCTATCACTGCCTATCACTGTCTATCACTTTGTCTATCACTTCCTCTATTGACCTCCCTTAGATGACTAGTCAGGAAAGGAGCTAGAAACCTTCCACCATAGAAAATACAGAAGGAGAGAGAGGAAAGTAACCAAATCTAAACACTTTTACACATGTGAAAATCCTGGTTCAGGGAAGGAAAAGAATCTCAAGTTTCCTCACAGGCTGGGGCTCAAATCATAGTGGAAACTGAGCTATTATCTTCAAATGTGTTATTGTGGATGATGATAACTGAAGGAAAAGAGTCCATGCTCACTTACCAGATACATGCAGTGAATTTTTCCCATCCTCTAAGGAAAACTTTGAAGGACTTAGCAGAAAGGAAACGTTACACATAAAAGAGAGAGACATCAACCAGCAAATAAATGCAGGAGCTATGCAAATAATCCTGGGGCTTTCTTGTTTGTTTTTTTGTTTTTGTCGATCATAGGATCTGAACTCTGGGCCTGGGCGCTGTCCTTCAGCTCTTCAGCTCAAGGCTAGAGCTCTACCATTTAAGCCACAGCGCCACTTCTGGCTTTTTTCTGCTTATGTGGTGCTGAGGAATCAAATCCAGGGCCTCATGCATGTGAGGCAAGCGCTCTACCACTGAGCCACCTTCCCAGCCCTAATCCTACTTTTTAATAGAGGGATCAAACTTTGAGGAAAGGGCTCATTTATACAAGGCAGCACTGTGCCAGCACTTCCCTGGCTTTAATTGTAGCAACGTGAGTAGCTCGGAGCACTTGAGTTAGTTGGCCAATAGAATTAAAGGTCTTAGTCAAGCTGTCATGTGAAAATTTCATTCCTGGCTGCCTGACCCTAATACACTTACTATGTATTGGTTCCTAGATACATGCATGCCATCGAGGCTCTTCTGAACGTTGAAACGTCTATTATGGTAAAATATATCGCCACTAGATTCAAAAGCTGCAGAAAAAGCTGACAACAGTGAGCTCTCTGTGTGTGTCTGTGTGTGTGCACGTGTATAATTTTAAAATTATTCTTTCCTTTTTTGCTAGTCCTGGGGCTTGAACTCAGGGTTTGGGTATTGTCCATGAGCTTCTTTTGCTCTCTACCACTTCTGGCTTTTTCTGTGTATGTGGTACTGAGGAATCAAACCCAGGGCTTCATGCATGCTAGGCGAGTACTCTACCACTAAGCCACCTTCTCAGCCCTGAAATTATTCTTAACAATTCTGACAAATTATTTGTAAAACTGGTAGTATGGGGCTGTAGATATCTATAACAAAAAAGCAAAGCAAAAGAAAGAAATGAAGACCAGAAGAAATATAACCTCAATCACTTTAACTGATTACTCACTCATATTTGTTTAGATATCAGCCACATGTTAGGCCCTATGCTACTCGGTGAGGGGTTCATTGGTGAATAAAATATGTACACATTAAACAAGTTTGAAGCTTACAAACTGGCTGAAAACAGACAATTTTTAAATACAACACAAGTGATTATTGTAACAGAATGAGAAAACTGTGTGAACTATAAAAACTGAGGAGGATAGGTGGGAAAGGGAGAGATGCATTTGGATAAGATAGTAATGAAGTGAGGCAACCTGGTCTGGCCAGACCCATCTTGGCCACATGGTTAGTGGTAGGGTCTGGCATCTTTTCTTCCTGGTGGGGGAAGGGAAGTCCCACCCCCCAGGTGATGGGTATGCCTGAATCCCTGAAGACAGGGGCAGGAACTTGGCTGATAGGTTACTAAACCTGTCAGTCCAGTGCTTTGACTGGGAGCTTCCTGTGACTCTGTACTCTGACCTGACCCTGTAGAGGCCTGGACCAGCTCAGGCCTATTATGCCATGCCATGTGTGTCTCCGTGTTCATGTCCTGTGTCCTGTCTCCTGTCTGCTCTCGGGTCACCATGGCATCCCAATTCAGCTCTCCATTGGAGCTGAATTGGTTTGTTGGTATTGTTTTTGTTCTTTCTTTCCTCTCTGGCCTTCATGGTTCTGTTTCCTGTTAAGTGTATTTGCTGGCTGCAGATCTTTGCAATTGGCTGCCTGCAGACCACTAGTGCTCCAATGAAGACTCTAAAATTCAATCTCTCAAAATAAGGCTTCTCCATTTTCTTGTGACTGGGTCTGTATATCTGATTTAGGGTTCAAGAGTACAATGGATAAGGAAAGGCCTCCATTAGTCCCATCTCTACAATCTAGATCTATCTCAGACTTGAGCAGGCATCAAAATCAGGAAGAGGGCTCGTTAAAACCCATTACTGACTTCACCCCACTCCCTGTTGCTCACCAAGTTTCTGATTCATTCGTACTGGGGTCCTGTGGAGAATTTTTAGTTCTAAGAAGTTCTCTGATACTGTAGATGCTACTGGACTAAAAAGCACATTTTAGACAACTCTATAGAGCAGAGTTGTTGTCGTTGAGGGAGAAAAAAAGCAGTAGCCAAGAATTCTTGGGAGGAATCTTAGACAAGGAAGTTATGTTCTCTGAAATGTCCAACTATCACATCTCTTCCAAATAAAGCATATAGAGGTCTGGAAGTGAGTCTGCATGATGAAGTCAACATGACTGCCCCACTAACCTTTCCCCGACCACATTCTTCTACTCCTGTCTTCTGATTTAAAAACATGTAAGAAATTCAGTCAAGAAATACAAGGAACCAATTGCTAAATCAAACCATATTTTTAAAAAATCAGGCACATATAAGTTAACACAGTATCTATCACCCCCAAAACTAGATGTTATCAGAGAATAGTTAATAGAGAAAATAAAAGAGATCGAAGGGTGGCAGCTGTCTCCAAACACAGAGCATTCTAAAGCCAAGGGAGGAAGCTCTGTTAACACAAGCAATGAGAGTACACAATTACTTAAAGAGTCATCTAATCTTATGTGGCTTTAAATGTTACGATGGCTTGGAACATAGATATCTTTATTGTTTTTTATTTTTTGTTTTTGTTTTTTTTTTCTGCTGTGGGACTTGAACTCATCAGGGTCTGGACACTGTCCCTGAGCTTTTTTTGTTCAAGGCTAGCACTCTACCACAGTTCCACTTTTGGTTTTATAATAATTCAATGGAGATGAATCTCATGGACTTTCCTGCTCATGCTGGCTTTGAACTACAATATACAGATCTCAGCCTCCTGAGTACCTAGGAATAGGATTTTTTTGTTGTTGTTTATTTTTAAGAAAAGACAGGAGAATTTTGGTTTCCCTCCAAATAGTATGTGAACCTGTAAAAGCCATCTTTTTCTTATTGGGATGAGTTCCTGAAACTTAGACTTTTAAAACAGGCATCCGTAGATATTCTAATGTTGGCAAACTAAGGCCTAGAGTTTGGGAAATGGCTG